ATGCAAATGATTTCAAGGATTAATGAGATTTAAATTTGTATAGACAAAAGAACAAACGTTAATTTTCATTAGACAAAACAAGAGAGATTACATCATGCCTCTTGGGCTTACAAAATAACTTTCTAAGATAATACCGAATGCATCCTCTTTGGCGCGAGATAAGCGTTCACACTTTGCTCTTCTTGTAGCTGCTTCGTAAGCTCCAAGACCCTCTTCTCACTAGCATAGAATTGAGCTTCGAGAGTATCTCGTTCTTCCTTAAGCTGAATCCAACCCTTTTGCAAGTCTTTGAGAGAGGTAGGCATATCAGGATGGAGGATAGTGTAGGGGACATCTCCTTCAACCACATGCTCCATGATGACTGGTAAAATGGAAGGATAAGGCATCACAAGTTTCTGAGCACGAGCTCGCACCCATTTAAGTTAAGGATCGAGAGGAATGGAGTTCTTGTGTCCTAACGTCTTGCTATCCACCTTGTTCAACATCCTCTAGGCTCGGATAAACCTCTGACGATAACCTTGATTGTCATTCTCGTAGTCGAATACCACTCCTAGGATAAGCATCTCGTTGGGAGGAACTTCTATGAAGTGAATCCGGATGGTTTTTTTGCGACCTGAATTCATATCCTACAAAACAGCAAAAAGGTAAATCCAATAGGTCCTTGAAATGATTAGTACATATGAATGTCATGATGTTTATGATGTCATGATTATGCTAAAAATCATAAATAAACACAAGCAAATCACACAATAGACCTTAGGTTCAAAGGCTTGCATGAGGTTTTAAGGTAAGTACCCTCTTGAATATTCAGTTGGCTCAACCTGTCCTATTAATAGTAAATGGGTTCTAAGGAGTCTCAATATCACTGACCTTCCCCTCAGAAATTGTTTCAGCTCCGCACAGAAGTATTACGGCCAAAAAATCCTGAAAGTCCAACCTCAATGAGTGTAGTATCGAGTATCAACCAATCTTCGGTCGAAACCAAAGTCAGTTATCACAATACTTCCTAATAACTAGGATGAGTCAATTAAAGGTTCTAAACTTCAGTTAGCGCTTAGTGACACTATGAGGAAGCCTGATGTGGTCCTCGACTTGCTCAAGGAACATTAGTACAATCCAGAGTATCGCGCTAACGTATCCACCACTTTGTCTGTATCGGTCTACGCCGTACAACCTCCATGATTTATTTCTACTTACCTAATAAGGTGCCCCATATCCGGGTGTAGGATTTTTACAAGAATACCCCAACAAAACCTCAAAGATAAATCAAGCAAACACACAATAAAGCATTTAAAATGATGAACTAAAAACTCTAAGGTAACCCTACTTTATAAATTCCCCAGCAGAGTCGCCAGTTCTGTGATACAGTGGTAGAACCGACTGTTTAATACTGGTTTTCATGTTGTATTCGCAAATATGCAGTAAGCAAGAGTCGCCACCGACTTTTCTTTTATCCAACAAAGGAAAGGGTGAAAAGAACAGAAAAAGACCTTTTCGAGTTGTTTTCTGAGTAAGGGGGTAGATTATGGAAAGGGAAGGTGTTAGCACCCTTTCCATCCGTGGTTTTCCACGGGCTCTTAGAGGTTTGCTCATTTTTAAAATACCTTTGTGCTTTGTGTGTTTGAAAATGTTTTTGAAAATGCCTTAGTACGGAGAACTTTGTAATGTTTCTCGGGATAGTGGAGAAAGTATACAAAGTGTTTTCAAATTGTTTTTGAAAAGTAGTTTTATGTGTAAGTGCAAAATGTTTGAGCAAACTTCTAACAGCTATCTACTTTATTACTCGAAAAGGGTTGTTCTTTTCCTCTTTTCCTTTAGACAATGATATCCTACTATTAGTGAGTAGGTAGCCTTATCGTTGGATGTTGAGGGACATTCGAAGGGATGTTTTACAGTTATAAAGGCAATATATGGAGACGCTTTAGCAATTTCCTTTAAGGGACGAGATCATTTACCGAAAGGTAACACCGTAGGGTCATCGAGGGACTATGATATTTTGATTTTTACGGGTCTTTGCTAAAGCGTCCGTATTCTCGAGGGACATGACTGTTTTACCGAAGGCAACCAAAGTGGAGATACCCTATAGGTGCTTATGTGCGTATGTGTTGAGATTCAGTTATTTTTTGTCTTTTTGTTAGGTGAGATAACGTTTTAATTTACAATCTTGTCATACACGCCTAATTATTAGCAGTTTATATACAGGCATACAATATAGTGCGGAAAGTGAAACCTACAACTATTACAAGGCTTTGGGACAATTACAGTTATATCTGACTAAAATGTAAAGTGCGGAAAATAAAAATCCTAATTAGGGCTATTACAATCCATAGGAAGATACATAGTCAGGAACTAAAATACGCGCGCGATAAAATTACAAACCATAGGCAGATACATAATAATATAAGCGCGCGAAATAAAGAAACATCTAAAAACCTAGTAAATAAAAATATGCTCTTTTTTTTGTTATTTTTTTATTTAAGAAAATAATTAAGTTAATTATCCTAAAGTCTAATTAGAAAATGGAATTAATTAAGAACTTATTTATTGTTTTTATTATGAAAAGAAATTAGATTGAATATAAATTAAAGCCTAAGTTCTAAATTATTTTAAATTTAAAATAATTAGTTAAAGTTGAATTAATACTTAATTTCGAAAATTAGTCTAGAAAAATCTAATCCTATTTTTTGTGATTTTTATTATTATTATACTAATTAAATAAATAAAAAAATAAAACCAAAAAAAGAATTAAAACAAGACCAAGAAAAAAGAAATGGGCCAGGGTTTTAATAAGCAATCAGGGGGTGTTGTTTGAATTTCTGTTTGGCCCAAATGAGGCCAAGCCCATGACATCTTGTGATCCTGTGGAGACGGATTCTGAGTGTCCATGGTGGTCTACACATCCTGGGTGCTAGATCTGGATCCCATATAGATTTACTAGTATAGATATTAGAAAAAATACAAAATGCTGGACCTGGGACTCGAACCCAGGTCCTCTCCCTCACAAACGTGCCTGTTTACCAACTGAGCTTCCCTGATCATTCGTAAATATAACAACATCCATATATTATATATAAAAAAAATGTTATCTGAGACAAAAAAAATAAAATGCGCGCAGGTTTGAATCATCCAGTGGGGGACTTCCATGCATCGTCTTCCACCTTCGTTCATCGTTTTAGACAATAAGATCTATAGTGACCGTTTTCTATCCGTCACTGTAACCCATGCATTCGAAACGAGCAGAATACGCAACAAAAATAAATTGTGAGGCCATGGATCAACTGGCCTCGTCTCCCTGAGCGTGATGGTATCAGTGGTCAAGCCTGATTTTGCCTAACAATGGAAGCCCCAATTCTAAGGTCCAAACCCTAGATATGGTAACACTCGATTCCTACGTCAAAAAACCAATTCAAACATACATATAGCTTACAAATACTAAAATAGTCAGTAATTCCTGGTTAAAACATGTTTATATTACATAAATCAAAGAAAGCAAGTTTGGGAAAAACGCAAACCTTGAGCTACTGTATTGGGCATTTTATTGTGCTTCAGGGCCTGGTAACGATTGGAAGAGTTTCAGGGGACTTCCAAGAATATTTTTGAGCCTTTGTTTGGGACTAAAAACAGCTGGAATTTGAAATTCGAGTTTGACAATTTCTGAGTTTTTTGTGCAAAATGTGCAGCAATTCTCCAAGCTTTCTGTGCGTGGATTTGGATTTCTAGAGTGCTGTACTTATAGTGTAGATGGAGGAGACACAATTGAATGGAAAAGATCAAGCCATAATTCCATAGTTTAAAGCCATAATCACCAATTTGAAAAGTTACCAAAATGAAGCTTTCATGCCATTTTTTGATGTTCAGTGAATCTGGTCATTTGTGCAGGAATCCTTGGGCTTCAAGACAAGTCAAAGCACCAGCCCAAATGCCTAAGCCTATTCCCAATTATTTTGTACCATTTATTTTATATTTATTTTGAGGTCCTCTATAACCTTAGGAAGATATTTGAACCTTAAAAAGTTAGGCCATTGACTCAAAAATCCAAATTTGCTCAATGCACCATTCTTGAAATTTCCAAAATTTTCCCAACTTGGGCAAGCCATAACTTGCTCAATTTTTATCTTATGATGATGATCTTAGACTTTTTGGAACGCCCAAGATGTCTAATTCAATACCTCTTTTGGTATATTTTGCATTTGAAGAATTTATCTTGATGTAAATGGTCTTGGAAAAAAGTGCCTTTTGTTGACTTTCTGAAAATGACCTGTAATGTATAAGCTTGTATCTTTTAAATGGTGCATTTCTTGGACTTGTGGGATGAATATAAGTTGTAGGGAATTGGATTCTATTCAAAATGAGATTTAGTGGTAAAATTTATGATAAAGTATGAGAAAGTTATTCCTGATCAAAGTTTGGTTGACTTCTCCTATAGAAACCCTAATTTAGCAATTCTTGACTTTTGATGAATTAGGAGCATTTCTTGAGGAATCATGATCAAACCTTGATAAAATTATGGATATCACTTCAAAATGTTGATATTGACCAAAACTATTGAAGTTTGACTGTACATGGGCCACAGTTGACCTTTGCCCTAACATAATTGATTTTCCAATACTTGAGCAATTGATTGAGCAAACTTGTAGTGCAAGGCATGTAAGTTGTCATGGACAATATTGAAGGCATTTTAGGACCATGAAAAGAATTTGAGACCTTTGGAGTTCAACCATCTTGATGAAAATTGAAACCCTAGTTGGGGGTTCATTGCCTTAGGAGGAGAATTTGTCTGGTCAATTCTTGGTCATCCTTGGGCAAGTTGGGGACCTCAATGGGCATGTGTTGAGTAAAAAGGGAGGACAAATTTTGGAGTAAAACATTATGCTTCTGCTTTCTTATATTGGTAAAAGTTTTCTTATTAAAAAGGATAAAATCATTTTGCACATTTTAGATACAAGTTACAATTCCATTTATGGATGTCCCCCAAGTAGTCTAGACTATATTAGAGTATTCTAGGTGAGTGATCCAAGCTGCCTTAAACCTAAAAGAACGTGGCATATGGTTTTGGAGGAGAAGGCCACAACTAAGGAGAATGATGTTGTGATCGTGGAATGAAATTTACACAACACCTCAACATATGCATCAGGGAAGGTCATGTGCCAAGTAACATAACCCATGACCTTATCCATCTCGTGATAAACCATTTGATTAGTACTACAAGGCATATTCCTCGTGAATTTCCTACCAATTATGTCAACTTCAACTAAATTACATTTATCAATGACATTCAACAAAGTAACGACCCTAGAATGGTTAAAATCATCTCCTTTTTGTTCACTTGGGTGAATGATATCGTTAAAGACTTCATGATAACTTGATAGTAATTGTATCCATAAAGACATCATGCACGACAGTTACAATATTAGTACCATTCTGCTTTAACACCCAAATACCCCCAGATTGACCACGCACATCCATGAAGTGAATACTCACATATCCAGTTCTATGCCAAAAAGATTTGGTCTTATGAAAACCAATGTGTGTTTCCATAATGATTAAAGACGTTGAAAAGTGTTTTCTAATCACATCCATCATGTGTATTTTAGACTTATTATTATAGGCTCCCTAGATCTTCCAAGAGAGTACCATTGGAAAGTGTTTTCCAATGGACAGTAACAATATTAGTACCATTCTGCTTTAACACCCAAATACCCCCAGATTGACCACGCACATCCATGAAGTGAATACTCACATATCCAGTTCTATGCCAAAAAGATTTGGTCTTATGAAAACCAATGTGTGTTTCCATAATGATTAAAGACGTTGGAAAGTGTTTTCTAATCACATCCATCATGTGTATTTTAGACTTATTATTATAGGCTCCCTAGATCTTCCAAGAGAGTACAATAACTTCTTTGAAACCTAACATAACTAATCTAGTTGACAAAGGTAAAAAAGCAAGTTCTGGACACATGATAGTTTATGTAGTTGTCTCCCATTCAATAGAAGATTCACGAAATACTTCCTCTTCTTGAGTAGCACCTTCATTCATAACACATTGGTTATTTTCATCTTTCTAACTTGATGTCAGTTCAAAATGCAGAATATTGTATCATGTGATGGTCTCTAAACCCACATTTACTACGGGAATGATGGAGGTGTATTTAGTACTGCTAGGCACACCCTTTTATGTTGGGCATGAATTAAAAGTTGGCCCAGTTTTATGTGAAGGTCCACTAGTAGAAAGACGTGGTTCTAAAATGGAAAACCTAGATTTGGAGCGTGGGTCCCCTCTTTGTGTCGGTTGATGCCCATCTAGGATGTGTCCACCCTTATCAAATCGTCGTTTCTTGGAAACCGCGTCAAGTTGATTGGGCCTAGCAGTTTTGCTATCAGCGGTTATTCCTTTTAAAGAAACTTCAATCCCATTGGTTTTAGAACTCCCCGGATCTCTAGGCGCATTATTGGATAAATATTTATTTTAACCATAACTGACTCTTTTGTTGTGTTTTTTTCTCTACACCACCAGTCAATCACCATGAACTGCATCTGTTTCTCTAGATTCTTTTGCTACAATTTCAGCACTATAATCACCCACTTTTTTATGCACTCCTGTTAGTCTTTTCCCATAGACAACATCATTTTCTGGCAGAGTTCTAGGTTGCGTCAGTAGGAGCGGTCGACTGCGTTAGATCATCTGGAGTATTCTTGCAATCACGGGTGTGATGTCCATAACAATCACAACTAGAGCAAATAATGTGAAGACTTTCATACTGCACGTTGTACTAGTGGCCATTAACATTGACCTTTCTGACAACCGGCAAGGTCAGATCGATCTCCACGTAAATTCTCGCAAAACCTTCATCTCTCTACATTCATGGTGCTAATATTCCTCTTAATAAGAGTATCCACAACAAATGTCAAACTAAGAAGGACACTTTCATCATAATACAATAAGTTAAGCCCTGGTAATCGAATCCAAACCTGAATCTTCTCCATCTTTGCGAGAGGAGATGCAAGGTCTAGAGTCCATCGAACCACTGCTATATAATGGTCAAACAACATCCACATGCCTTCTAGCACAATTTTCTCCCTATCTGTAACCGTTGACTCTTAACTTTAAGAAATCATTGTCAACGTCCATGATCTCAAAGCCTCTAGTAAGTTTCCATATCTTCTTCAACATATCCTTAATCATAGCCCACATTCTTTCAAAAGAGTTTTATGACTAGCGTCTCCTTTTAAAGATTGCACGGTTATTGAAAAAGCTTCTTATCCATCATGGCCTTTGGCAGCAACTAAGTTCCTCCTTCAAGAAAGACTTTCATAAGTCCATTTTCAATCAAGTTCACTCTCTCTTTCACAGTAATGACTCTTTGTCCTTCAATGAGAATATTCTGAAACGAAGGTTTCAGAGACTTATTTGTACCTCCGTCCAATAGCTTGATTGGTGGCTCGTAAAAGCGACGGAAAAAAAAACTCCATGACGGCTCGTAAAAGCGACGGAAAAAAAACTCCATGAAAAAACTTCTCCACTATTCAAAAGTTGTTATCACATTTAGTCTTTGATAAGTGCCTAATAGAATATTTTTTTAGTAAGAGTTCCGAATAGAATTATTTCAAGTAGCATGAATTTATGGGGAAAAATCACGCCAACTATCAAAATAAGTTCATGATTGTCTCAATAAATTTATATCTTCAGCAACCTTTTTTGCAACAAATATTTGAAAGTAAAGTAAAATTAATAGAACAAAAGTATTATATAACTACATAGAAACTATACAGAGTAGTAGCAACTCTAAAGTTTTCACAAAATGAATTCATGTAGTTGATGCCAACCACAGAGATTATTGAATTAAAAGTTATTTTAAAAATGCTATCATTCAAGGAGCAGCAATAGTGGAGAGAGCTTCCTGTATATATATGCATTCAGTGCTGTCCTTTGTAGCTAGCTGGTATCACTTGGATCGCATGCATATCTTGTTATTGTACTGAAGGTATACACTAATAAATTGCCATTGCTGAATGAAGTTTTTATTTTTTATTTTGGGCTTTCTTGTAATCTAAGGGTAGTGATATAGTACTTGTGTTAAGTACTGTATCACTACTTGATTTTGTATCAGTATAAGGCAGGTTCATTAAGCTGGCATAAAATCAGTAATTGCGCAGGAACATTGTACATTGTAAAGCTTTCGAGCACATTGTAATTACAACTTCACATCATCATAAAAAGCACATGTATGTATTATCAACTTCAGATGAAGATTCAACATCAAAATATAAAAACTTCAACAAATATATCAAACCAATATAAATTTTATATAATCAAAATACGAAAAATTCTCAAGCAGAAAGGAAAAACAGATATGAAAAACCAATAACAACCATAATTCTACCAAACAAAACAAAATAAGATAACCATAATTCTACCAAACAAAACAAAATAAAACAAGTTATCGCTGACACTATCACTGCATCCACACTCCAATTGTGTTTTATTAACGCTTGAATAAATCACTGCATCGACTCCAATTGGACTCAAGTGCATTCCATATTGCCTCCTTCTTCTCCGCAGCCCTTTCTAAGATCACAACATTCTGTTTACTCACCTCTTTTTCAAGTTCTTCAACTCGCATTATCAGCTTATATTCATCATTCACTTTAGTCCTATAGTGAACCACGAGCTCCTTCAGCGATGTGTTCAGCTCGTCTATATGCTTCTTCATATGTGATATTTGATCACCCCGTGTGCATATCTCAGCCATAAGCTTATCGGCCTGGATATTAGCTTCTTTTATTTCGATCATTCTTGATTCCTTATTTGCAGCTTCTACATCATTCATTCTTTGACCAAGTTCTCTCTTCAAACAACTGATTTCATCTTGCAAAAGTTTTACTTGAGCAGAATGCAGCTTATTCTGATTCGACTTTTCAACTTCTTGTCGCATTACTTTTTTTTCTAACTCCTTGTTTCTAGTCTCAAATTCCTCTAGTTTAGAGGTCAATTGTTTTCTCAGTTTTGACAATCTTGCAATATCAGCATCCATCTTTTCTCTTTCCCAAGAGAACATAACCTGAGATTCAAGCAGTGTTGAATTCATTTTTTTCAGCTCCTCTTTGTGGTTAATGTCATTATCCTCATTTTGGAGCTCCCTTTCTGTAATTTGACTCTTCAACTTGAAAATCTCTTCTTTCGAAATCTCCTTTTCTTCATTCAACTTCTCAGCTTTCAAACTCAATTCTTTGTGGACATTATCAAGCTGATCAGCTTTCAGCTCCAATTCTTCCCGCACATTTTTGAGTTGATTCTCACTTTCTTTAATTTGAGTCTTCAACTTGAAAATCTCTTCTTTCGAAAGCTCCTCTTGCTCATTCAGCTCCGCCTCTTTAAGCTTCAACTCTTTACCGACATTATCAAGCTGTTCCTTTTTCAGCAACAATTCATTGCGCATTTTATCAAGATGACTGTTTTTCAGATTTAATTCGCGCACATGATCAAGACGAACATTTTTCAAGTCCAGATCCAATTTTCCCTGCATCATAAAAAGCCGAGCACTTTTAACATTTAATTCTTTGCGCACACTATCAAGCTGGCCCTTTTTCAGATTTAATTCTCCGCGCACATCATCAAGTTGACATTCACTTTCTCTAATTCGAGTCTTCAACTCGAAAATCTCTTTATCCGAAATCTCTTTTTGTTCACACAATTCAAACTCTTTCAGCTCCAACTTCTCATGCTTATCCTTAATCTGACTCTCACTATTCTCAACTTGAACTCTCAACCCTACAATCTCTTGTTCTGAAAGTTGAAGCTTCAAATTGCAAACTCTTAACTCTTCCTCTTTTTCAATGAACTTTTTCAGCAACTCTTCATAACTTCTGTTGTCCATCTCCCACAAAAAACCATCTTCATTGTTTTCCACCCCAACGAACTGGTTTTCAGCTTCCAAATCAGGATAGATATCACTTTCGGGATCGGAAGCCCATGATGACATAGTTGATCCACACCCCTCCTTCATAGAAACCTCAGAGCTAACATCACAGTCAGAGCAAGAAAACGAATCCATATTGAGTGGTTGAAGGTCGCATTTTGGCACGGTTGTCATCTGATTTAGGACCGTCCCTACAGTCTCACAATTGCTAGAGTCCTCCATCTGAAATTCTAAAAATAAACTCAATGATTAGAACTCTACAATTATAATAACCGCTAAGTATAAGAAAAATAGATACTACAAAATTGCAAGCTTTGTGTTCCAATCATCAACTATCAGAAACCAACATATTATTGTGTTGATACGTATCAACACAATAACATGAAGAATAACAAATCTGTGTTGCAATTTGAAAGCCACTTAGTGACCTATCATGAATCTAAAACTATAAAATTCTAAAGTATCATCATCATGAAAAAAAAAACAACCTGAATATCATGAAAATTTTGAAATCCTATTATTAACTTGCATGCAAAAAATTTGCATCTAAAAAAATAGTGAAAATAAGAAGGGATACGCGATTTTTCACCTGGTAGAATGAGTTGCCTTAGGTTTAGAAAAGTAGTCAGTTTCGTTGATAGGCTAGGGTTTATAATCGTTCCGTGTTTGTTAAGTATATATATTATGGATCTTCTATTTTCCAGGCATAGTTATAGCTGATTTTGTGGGTTTTTTATCTCAGATTTTATTATATTAACGTTTTCTTTTTTAAAGCGATAATTGTTAATTTGCCGTTTTGAATTTTTATTTAAATAGTTGATATTCATATATAAAGTTTTGATGTATAACAAAATCAAAATTATTGAATGTTAGATACCTATCAACATAACTGAGATATTAGTGTTATTTTCGTATTAAAATTAAAATTTAAGATATAAATTATGGTTAGGGAGGTTAACTTGCCCTAACGGGGATTTTTCGTTTGGGATCTCAAAGATGAGAATTTTTTTTTCACTGAGATGGGGAATAAAATTTTTCCGAAAGCACTTCGAGGACGGGATGGCGTAAATATTTTCTGCCTCGTGTAATCTCCGCCCCTCTTATAATACCATAATAAACATAATTTATATATAATTTTAAATTTTTATATAGGTTTATTTGTCATTTCATATAATTTGTCAAATTTAAAATATAAATATATTGTTAGTAAAAGATTGAGATATAAATGATTATTTTAAACTTTTTAAGTTCGAAATTTTGGTGGTTATGACACTCAATATTATAGATTAAATATTGTTAAAACAATATATTTATCATAAAGGAATAATTTCTAAATTTTTGTTGTGGTTAGTTTTTAAAATTTTTACTATTAATTTGATTTAAAATAATAAATAAAGAAAATCATGTTTATGGATCTCCGCATGAACCTTGGGGATCCGCGGGGACGGAGATGGAGAAAAAATTTCCTGTGGCGGAGACTCGAGACACGGACGAAGAATAGATTCGAGGGCGGGGATTGAGATGAGAATGTATCTCCCGCCCCCGCCTCACCCATTGACATCTCCAATTATGGTGCACAAATTATATATATATATATATATATATATATATATATATATATATATATATATATATATATATATATATATATATATATATATATATATATATATATATATATATATATATATATATATATATATATATATATATATATATATATATATATATATATATATATATATATATATATATATATATATATATATATATATATATATATATATAACTAGCCCAATGACTAAGCAGAACCTAATCCAATAGAACGGTCTAATAACTTTGGCCTAATAAACCATGAAGGATAAATGACACTTTATCCCCTTTGCCATTCACTCAAGAATTCCTGGCCAGCTAACCACCAGGGTTTGTGCAATCTTTTCTTCCCGCTGAGACATGCTAGTCTTCGACTTATCGATCACACGAGGATAGCCACCCAGGAATGCCTAGATTCATCTTTGCCCGTGAGCACCGCTGCTCGTCATAACGGCTAGTTCCGAGCATCTCTGTCCGTCTAGACCAAATCCTAGCAGTTACCTATTTTTGAGGAACCTAATATCTAGAACCAAAAATAGAAACTGGTGGTCAAACGCCGGGGAACTATATGAACCCTCACACTTGTGAGGGCCAAGTATCCAATATTCATAATAAAAATCATAATCTCTTTCTTGTTTCTCTTTGCATTCTTTCTTACTTGAGCGTCTGAGTGCCTTGCTGGTACACTCCCTCCTCCTTACTGATTTCAGCCTAGAAGACGTCATATATCGGCCTACATCAGGTTTTGATCAACTGTCGAGATCAATGGCTCCATCTGTGGGAAGATGATCTCCCCACCTTTCTTTCCTCGAAACTAAAGATCAAAGCGACATTCAAAGACTCCTATTGTAACACTCTGATTTTATTTATTAATTATTATTTTTAATTAATTGCCAAGATTAAATATTATTTAGTTTGATAATTATTTAATATTTGATTTTGTGTGATTAAGTGAATAATTGATTTAATTGGAATATGTGTGTATTATATGTTAATGGTCTAGTAAGTGTGAGAATATCATATTTAAGTATTGGACCTTATATGTATGTGATACAGTGGGAGAACTGACTTGGGTGTTTTGCATTTGATCGCAAATGTTGCGGTTAGCAAGAGTCGCCACTGACTTTTCTTTTATCCAAAAGGAAAGGTGAAAAAGCACAGGAAAGACCTTTGAGATGTTTTCTTGAGTTCGGGGGATAGATTATGAAAAGGGAAGGTATTAGCACCCTTTTCATCCATGGTTGTCCATGGGCTCTTAGTTACTTGCTAGATCACTTGCTTTTGTTTGAAAATATGCTTTGTGTGGTTTTTGAAAGTATTTTTGAAAGAGGCCTTTGTCTAGGCAAACTTTGTAATGATTCTCGTTCGTAAGAATGTATACAAAGGTGTTGATCTTTTGAAAATGTTTTCAAGTTTTGAAAGATGTTTTAGAAGTGTTGGTGTTTATTTTGAAAATAGTGTTGCACCCCAAAATTTACCCTCCTAATTTCTCTTATTCTAGTTTGGACTTTGCATTCAGTTGCATATATTCCATTAGGTCACTAACATAGCATGCATTGCATTAAAAAAGTATCTGAGATTCAAAAGACTGTGGAATTAGGGTTTTGTTCATGATCATTTTTGGACTTCTTCTCATCAAGCTACAAGGCTATTAGGGTCCATCTCTCTATGTGCGAACAAAAATCGAAACTCTCTTCAGTTATCATACTCTAATAGAGGTTCTTCTTCAGGAATCCTCGATTACAAGTTGGAATTTTGCATAGTGATTTGCTTCAAAACAAGGCATGAGGTCTAAGATTTATTCACGGGCAGGGATTCTCTTTGTTGTGCTATTGGTCATCAAATGGATATGGAGGTTTTGGTTTCCTGACATTCATGGAGCGCACCTCACAGTTGAGTGTTGTGGATCATCAGGAGAAGGTTGTTTCATTTGGTTAAGTGCTTTGAAAGAAAATATTATGGATTTGATACAAGATCATTTCAAAGTTAAGTTTAAGCTATTGGGATTTTCATATATGTATCTGTTGGTGCAAACATAGAATGAAGTTTGATTCAGATTTAAGATTCCTGATTCAAACAAAATTCATAAGAATTCAAGTTTCATTCGAGATTCATTCTATATTGAAAAATCAAGAAGAAAACTCTAAATGTCAAAAGGGCAATTGGAAGAAGGTTTTGGTGCATGGGTATTCACGTTCATTGATATTTTCGAGTCGTGATAAGCATGAAATATTGGAGAAAGAAAGAATATTGTGAAATTATGGTTCAAACACATTCATCATCAAAGTTCGCGATATTCATTATTATCCTATCAATGGTATTTCAGGATCAATGAAACGGGCATTCATTTACAAGGTCAAAAGGCAATGAAGTGAAATTAAAATTCAACTTGAGGGGGAAGGACATACACTTTGGAATACTTAAAAAGATTGATATTTAATTCTAAAGATTTTAAACTGTATTCATGATCAAGAGCTACAATTTTATGTCAAATGTCAAGGAAAGTTTGTTCAAAATTCAAGTGTTAGAGTACACCATTGTCATTTACAAACTCAAGTCATTACACCTATAATAAGGCGAGAAGCTCAAAATATGAATATCGTGGCCATTGCAAGGATTGGCAAAAGACCATGTGTGAATATGAAGACCAGCTTGCCGTACTCTCCGCCTTCGTGTCTCAATCAAGTGCCATGTTTTATTTCAAATCTACAAATCAAACTGGCGGTTAAACCAAAGTAGTTCTGCCTAAAGTCGTCTAAATCAGGCCAAATAAGTTCCAAAAAGACTTGATGAATACCACTCCAAGACTTCCTCTGCGCCATGCTAAGGCAGTCGCTGTGATGAATCCTGTTTCAAACTTAGCATAATAGACCAACAATTAGCCTTGCAAAAAAAAACAGAAGCAAAAACTAACGGGATTTATGCTAAGCCTAACTTCAAACCGATTCAAACTAATCCTAATTGTCAAAATAGAGTTTCAAACAAACTAACTGTCAAAGCTAGCTGATGGTATAACCAAGCAAATCAGAAACAAGAGGTTTCCACAGTTCACAAAATCAAGAGTAATCAGAAAATATAAAAGGAAATATCATGAAAAGTGTGTGGAAAAAATTGTGAAAATAGGGTTACAGCTCTAACCAATCTCTAACAGAATCCATAACCAATTCCTAACTAACTTCTAACAAACTTCTAACAGAACTATATAACAAGAAACTCACCTCTCTTTCTCAAAAAAAAAGAAGGACCTGAATTGGCTCTCATTTTCTTCAATTGCAAAAAATCATGAAGATCCCTTTCTTCTCTCGACTCTCCTTCTTCAACCTTCGATGATTCATCCGTAAAAATCTCTGAAATTTATTCACATCTTCATCCACCAGAAAATCAAGAAAACTCTCTCTTCTTCTTCAATATAACCTTCTTCTTTCAATTCTGCTACCTTCTTCACCAACTCTGCTATCTTCTTCTTTCAATTCTGCACTTTCATCGTCGATTCAAATCTGCAGTTCCACATCATCTTCAACCATTCCGCTTATCATCGGCTCACATGTCGAAGCCGTGCGACATCACTACCTGCATTTCCTTCACAATATCAATGCAGTTTCACCTCCATCGATTCAGTAATAATGAAT